AACCCTGGTCTGCGCCGGGGCTGAGAAACGAGCCGGGCTGGGAGGAGGCGGCCCGTGGCCTGGCAGTGCAGCGCGTCCCCGCACCCCGGGGCCAGCCCTGAATGAGGCCCCTTCTGGGCTCCCGGGAGGCCCCCATGTAGCCCGAGGTCCCTCTCACCCATGTGGGATGGCCCATCTCAGGGACCCTGTTTGTCCGGGAGGGGCCTGACCACCCTGTTTCCCAACAGTGCCCAGCCGTCTGCCCACCAGGCCCCCCGGGGCCCCCAGGAATGCCAGGGTTCAAGGTGAGCGACCCCCAAGGGTTGACTCAGACCCCAGCAGGAGGGAGCGGGCCCCCCCATGGGGGGGGTTGGAGGGGGGTTTGGAGCTGGGGGGACTCAGAAAGCCCGCCCTGGTTCCAGGGTTGATGCAGGCAGGAAGGGGGATCAGCGTCCTGCCCCGCCTGGGGCCTTGCTCTGTCCCCGTCCCTCCGCAGCACTGGTGAGCTGCTAGGTGCTAGCCTGGCTGCCAGGACCAGGGGGCACTGAGAGAGGGTATGGGGGCAAGCCGGCCTGGGGCCCCCAACCCCCTGCCCTGGCTCAGCCCTGCTCCTCCCAGCTGGGCCTCAGTTTCCCCACTTGGGCTGGTGGGCCGTGCAGGCCTTCATTAGTGTGGGGCTGCTTGTGGGGTGGGTCTGTGACTGCTCACCCACCACTGACTTTCAGGGACCCACTGGCTACAAAGGGGAGCAAGGAGAAGTCGGCAAGGATGGCGAGAAGGTGAAGGCTGGAGGCTGGGCAGCGCCCCTGGGGTGGCAGCAGTGGGGAGCAGGCACGTGGCGGGGGGCCTGGGACTCTGGCCTAGTTGGTCGGGAGGCGTGAGGAGGTGCTGGCCGCTCCGGGGGCACACCCTGATGGAGCAGCGACGCGTCACGCCTCCTGCGGGGCCTGGCTGGCGGAGCCAGGTGACCTGGGGCAGGGTCTCTGTCCAGACTCCCCATCTGGCCTTACGTGGAAGCTCCCTGAGCTCAGGAGCCACACTGCGGGCTGCAGAAGGTGGGCTTCAGCCCAGTAGCCCCTGCCACCCTCCCCCCAGGGCTCCTGCCTGCAGAGGGCATCTGTCGGTCCTTACTCACAGGCTGGGTGCGCCCTAGCAAGGATGGAGGGGCCTCCCCAGCCAGGAGGAGGGGTCTGGGAAGGGCCGGAGTCCTCGCTGGGGTGGAGGACACAGTGCATCCTCTGTGGAGGAGGGCCAGTGCTCTCTTAGCCTTGGGGGTTCAGCTGTGAAGGGGACAACGCCCTCCACAGCAAGGGCTCTGGCGGGAGGTGGGGGGCAGTGGTCATCACCTCCACTTTCTCCTCCTCTCTCGTAGGGTGACCCCGGGCCTCCTGGGCCCCCTGGCTCCCGGGCACCGTGGGGCTGCAGGTGAGCAGAGGAGGGGTGGGACGGGTGGGGATGTGGGATGGGAGCCCCTTGGGCAGATCAAGGCTGTAAGGGACGGTCCACCGAGTCCCACAATGGGAACCAGGTTGGGGTCCCGCCTCTGCCGTGTTGCTGGTCCCAGGTGTTGTGGTCCTCTGGCCGCTTCAGGGCCTGAGTTGGGCCCAGTGTTGGTAGGGAAGATCCCAGGGCCCTCGGAGGGGCTGCTGGCCCAGGTCTTACAGCTCCAGCTCTCTCCCTGCAGGGTCTGCGGGGGCTGCAGGGACTTCCAGGGCCGCTGGGACCCCCCGGGGACCGGGTAAGTCTGCAGCCCACAAGCACCTGGCCCTTGAGGGGCTGTGGGCCAGTCTGAGGTCAGGTGGTTGGGGGGCCACCTCCAGATGTCACATGGGCCCCATGAGCGTGAGTCCTCAGCGAGGGCCGTGGGTGGGCTGTGTGACATCAGCAGGGCTGCCTCTGGTCCTCCGTTCACTTGACCGTCCCCTAGACTGGGGCCTGTGAAGGCTTCAGTGCCTTAGGCCCAGGGGGATGGGGGGCAAATGGGGGCCAGTGGGGGGGGGCCTTGACAAATGTGGGAGGGGGAAGTGACTTGGGGACCACTGGGTGGGTAATTAGGGAGGGGCCTGCTGGGGGCTCCAGTGGGGGGCTCCCAGGAGGGCCTCGACAGATTGCGCCAGCTACTCTGGGGGCCAGAGTGTCAGACGAGAGGCCTCAGATGTCCTTTTCTCCTCCACAGGGTCCCATTGGGCTCCGAGGGCCCCCCGGGATCCCAGGAGCCCCTGGGAAAGTGGTGCGTGTGTGTCTGGGAGTAGGGGGGTGGCCCTGGGAGGGCCCAGGCTCTCCAATCCCTTCCCCCCTCCCTCACTCAGAAGCTTCCCCCAGCCCCACTGGGCTGTGCCAGCCCTTCCCGGGGCGAAACCGTCCCTTCCCGTCCCGTGGGCACACCTGGGGGTCAAGTCGGCCAGAACAGTCAGTATGTCCTTCGTGGGAGATGTGCATTCTTTCTTTTTCCAGACGTGAAGGGAGGTGTGGGGAGCGCCCCTCTGGCTTCTGCGGCCCTCAGCGCTGTCAGTCCTGCCCTTCTGACGCTGACCCCTGCCAGCACCCTTGGTCTTGCTCTCCCACCTTCTTGAGTTAACTCTCTCCCTGTCCCCCCTTGTCATTTCAGGGTGACAGAGGCGAGAGGGGCCCAGAGGGGTTCCGCGGCCCCAAGGGCGACCTTGTAAGTGCGAGAACCTGGCTGCTCTGGGTCCTTCCTCAGGAGGCCCTGGCACAGGGATGGGGAGGGCATGCGGATGGCGTGTCCAGGGACGTGGGCAGCTGCCTTTCCCTGAGAGTGGGGGCAGTGAGCCACGACAGTGCCAGGTGGGTTGGGGGCCCAGGCAGCCCTCCCAGGAGCCCTCCAGCCTCGCGGCCCCTGTGGCTCTTTGAAGCCACTGTCACCTACCTAGCAAGCTCCTCTCTGGAGTGGCCGGGCCAGGGCCAGAGGACCAGACCACACTCCCAGGTGTGGCCTCTGACACCACTGTCAAGGGGCCCTGGGCGGTGGGGCCTGACCTTGTGCCAAGGCTGCCCACCTGTGAAGCGGAGAAACAGGGAGAATGGCTGGGGTTAAGGGAGCATAAGTGAAGCCGAGATGGTTAAAGCAGCTCCTGAAATGAAGTGACGTCTCTGAGCTGGCACTTGGCTATGGATGCCTCCAAGCCAGCCTCGTCTCTTCTCCCCACGTGAGCCTAGTGGCTGGAGGCCCAGGAGGTGGCCACAAGATGCCACAGCGTCCACAGGAGCCTAAGATAGCTCCCAGTTGATGGGCCTTTTCCCCCAGAGGTCGGGATTGGCCATCGCAGCTGTCCCTGCTCCGCCCCTGTCTAGAAAGTGGGGTGGGGCGCTCCGCACATCAATGGCTCGGGTCTGATCCCCATTCCCCAGGACCTAGTGAGGTAAGCTGGGGGAGCGCGGTCCCCACGGTCCTGACTGTGGACACTTGTGTGTCTTTTAGGGCAGACCTGGTCTTAAAGGTGTCCCAGGCATGTCTGGGCCAGGCGGAGAGCCGGTGAGTGCCCGTGGCCACTCCCTTTGCTTCCTGCCCTCTGTGATTGCTCCCCCTACCCCCGAGAATCCCTGGCCTCCCCCTTGGTGGGGGGGCACTACGTGCAGGCGGCTGGCCCTCACTTGTCTCACTGCCCCACTGCACGTCTGCAACGGCCCCTACCCACGTTTCCGTCTTGCCTGAGGCTGCAGGGCCTTTTGCTGTCCAGTCTGCACAGAGGTAGAGGGTCTTGGTTGGAGCTCATCTGTATTCCAGCGGCACACAAGGGAGGGGGGCATTCTGGGGGTCCTGGGTCCTGGCCCTTTGCACCTGGGTCCCCTTGTCTCTGCTGCATGTCCCTGCCATTTGTCCCTGCTCAGCCCAGATCCACACTTCCTCCTGGACCGTCGGTTCCCTCCCCACCTCAGCCCTAGGGGCACCCCCCTTGCTGCGGCAGCGGGGAGGCAGGGCAGAAGGCAAGGGATGAGGGAACCTGGCTGCTCTGCTGCCTTCCCTGCACGTGGCTTTGTCCCCAGTTCCAAAATCAGTGGAGACTGGGATTAGGTAGCCCTGAGCTGGAATCCTGGTTCCCAAGCCTGTTTCCCCATCTGTAAAGTGGGCACAACAGAACTCCCCTGGGGCGCTGTGAAAAATCTGGGAGGATGCAGAGGGCAGCGTGTGGTCTGGATGCATCTCACCACCCTCCCCTGCGCTGTCTGAGGGCACGCAGGTCCACCTGCCTGCTGAGCCATGAGGCCACAGACACCCCACAGGACCACGCAGGGTCCGCTGGCCTGGGAGGAGGGGCAGAGCCAGTTCAGGGAGACAGAGCAGGGAGCTGCCTGGAGGAGGTGGCCTGGAGGGCGACCAGACTGGGGGGAGGGGCACACACTGCCTGCCAGGCCTCACCCCACCCACCCCCAGGGCATGCCGGGCAAGGACGGCCGGGACGGCATGCCAGGACTCGATGGCGAGAAGGTTGGTATTGGCTGGCGGGCTGCAGAGAAGGGGTCTGAGGAGCATTCAGCCTTGGGCCCTCAGCCTCCCATTTCCCCCCAATCTCACACAGGGAGAAGCTGGGCGCAACGGTGCCCCAGGAGAGAAGGGTCCCAGTGGGCTGCCGGTGAGTGCACATGGCCCAGGGACTCCCTGCCCGTGGTGGTCTCCTGCGGGTCCCTGAGCAGGGGTGTGTGCAGGGCTCTGCACCCAGGCCAGGGAAGCTGTAGGTGCCCCTCACCCTCGAAGGGTGCCCGGCAGCTCGTACCCCTGTCCTCTGTCCCCTGTCCTGCAGGGTCTCCCTGGACGAGCAGGGTCCAAGGGTGAGAAAGGAGAACTGGTACGTGGCTTCTTTCTCCCGAGGGAGCGGGAGGAGGGTGGCCACAGCCTGGCTCCTGGCTGAAGGGGACACGCGGGCAGACACTCAGGGCTCTCCCTTCCCCTGTAGGGCAGAGCTGGAGAGCTGGGTGAAGCTGGCCCTTCAGGAGAGCCCGGTGTCCCTGTAAGTATCCACAGCCCTCGTCCCCAGCCCGAGTGTGCAGGCCCTGCTGACATGTCTGTCCCCACGTGCAGGGAGACGTTGGCGTGCCCGGGGAGCGTGGCGAGGCTGGCCACAGGGGCTCAGCGGTGAGTGGGGAGTGGAGTCTGGGGGTCGGTGGGCACAGGGCCATGGCTGAGGGGCCTGTTTCTGTGCAGGCTGGGGTGGTTTTGGATGCGGGAAGGACTGAAACCACAAAAGCTGGGACACGGTGCCAGCCACCCTGAGTGTCCTGCCCTGGAGACCTTCATGCTGAGGGAGCAGCCTCGGCCCCGGGAGGCGCCGTGGAGACGCCCCAAGCCTCATGGCCCCGGGTAGCCCCAGAGCCTCGGGAGGCCCAGGGCACTGCTGCCTGGCACCAAGTCTGGCTGACGCATGGGGTCCGAGGGTGTGCCCTCACCTCTCTCCCCAGCAGCGGGGCCAATGGCTGAGGACCAGCTCCCGTGTCTGCCCAGCCCCCTGCGGGGGAGGCAGACCTGGACTCACGCTCTCCTTCTGTCTTTCAGGGGGCTCTGGGCCCACAAGGCCCTCCGGGGGCCCCTGGAGTCCGAGGTTTCCAGGTGGGTGAGGTTGGGGCTGGGGTATGTGCCCCGGTGGGCCAGCGGGGCTGGGAGGGGTCTCCACTGGGTTCCCTTGTGGGTGCTGACGAGCTGCGTCCTTGTCTGTAGGGCCGGAAAGGCAGCATAGGAGACCTCGGCCTGCCAGGCCCTCAAGGCCTGCGAGGCGATGTGGGTGACCGGGTAAGTGGCTGTCCCAGCGGGAGTGTCCTGCCCCTGCACCCCACCACCCACAGCCCTGGGGGCCACGCAGGGACACCGCGCCCTGTAGGCAGGTTTCAGCTGGGGGCTGACTTGGCACAGGTTACCTTGCTCAGAACTACCGTCACTGTCCCTGCTTCTCACCTTCCGAGACTCTCCTTGCGGTCTTCCCACAGCCGGCAGGTTCACTGTGGGGTCCCTGTTGTCCTGTAACGTTCAGGACGTGGTGGGCCTGGACCGGGTGGTGGTCACCATGTGACCAGGCAGCCGAAGGGCCTCCAGGAGGAGGCCATGGGTCCACATCTCTGCTCCCACCCAGCCACGTGGCACCAGGCCCCTGGGAACCCAAGAGTCTAGCTTGGCTGCCTGCCTGTCCGCCCCATCAGCAGCGACAGGGGCCCAGGCACCCCTTCATCCAGGGCACTGGCGAGGCCATGGAAACCACCAGCCTGGGGCTGGGACAGTGGGCCCTTCATTAACCTCCAGCCAGGAAATTCCAGGGGGTGGGGACATGCCAATGACACCAGGGCCTCCAAAAGGTGGAGAGGGAGGCCCTGGGCACTGTGCCTGGCCCCGTGGGGGTGCGGGGCCAGGTACTGGATCCCCCCAGCCCCCACCCTCACCCACGGTTTTGAGATCACAGGAGAGTTCCACACCTTTTGCCCTTTGGGTGGGTTCTCACTTGCGCTGCTATCTGAGCAAATAGACGATTTTTAATGTTCCACGGGAGATCCTGGCAGTACCCAGCCACGTCACTAATCCCCCAGTCCACGGGGAAGATGACTCGCAGGAACTCTTGGCCCTGACTCAGCAGCTCCCCTGCGTACCCTGAGGTCACCCCAGGGCCGTGTGAGTGACAGGGCCACACAATGACCACTGTCGCCAACACGGCCGAGCTTAGAGGCCTCGCTGCCCCCGGCAGGGCCCATGAACCACTGTGGCGCTGCACGCGGGCAGTGCTAGGAGCCCCTAGGAAGACAGGGCTTCTACCAGGAGATCCTGCAGCACTCGGGACAGGCCCCAGGCAGCATCCTGGTGGGAAGCTGTGTCCACGGGAGCCTGGCCCCGTCCTGGCTCCAAGCCGGGCTGCAGGTCACTTCAGGGACACCTGTGACCTCTGTAATGCTGACCTTTCTCTGCTCAGGGCCCTGGAGGAGCCACAGGCCCTAAGGGAGACCAGGTGAGCGGGTGGTCAGGTGAGGTGTGGGTCAGCTGTGTCTGCTGGGCTCTCCCTCCCCTATGTCCCCCCAAATCCCCCTCCCCCATCACCCCCCTCCCCGCTCCCTCCACATCCCTCTCCCCTCTCCCTCCTTCTGACTTTGTCGTTGGCTCCCTCCTGCTCCCTCCAAGTTGACAACTCTGGGCACCCAGCCCCGGACACTGCGTGCAGCCTTCCTGGGTGTAAACGGCAGGGCCACCAGCCTGATGTCACTGATTGGCTCCTGGGTGCGAGAGTGGCTGCCTCGCCTGGGTGGCGCATCGGGGGCCCTCAGAGGTGGGGGGTGGGAGTGTATCACCTGCTGATCGGTCTGGGTTCCAGGCGTCCGTTTGCAGGAACAGATTAGAAATTCGTTTCTCTCTCTGGAAAGGCCCAGGGGTGGGGGCCTGCACTGTTGCAGCTCTGCGTCTGACCTCCCGGTAGCGCCCAGAGGCTCTAGAACAATCTACACCCACCAAGGCTCTGCTCTGTGCCCACCCGGGCCTGGGTCTCAGGCGCCAGCTCCCACCAAGACTGGGGACGGTGGCGTGGACAGTTCTTCAATGTTAGGGTGTCGTTTCAGGGCATTGCGGGCTCGGACGGTCTTCCTGGGGAGAAGGGAGAACCGGTAAGTGTGACTGAGCTGACCTCACTTTTGTTAATGGCAGAATGAACCGCTGTGTTGGGAGGTGGGGGAGAAGGGCAGACTGCAGATCCAGAGACTCCGAAGAGGGTGGGAGTGGCAAGCCCAGTGTCCGGGGCCAGCCAAGGCCCTGGCCGCTGACCGGCCCCCGAGGCAGAGGGTGGGACCCGTGCCGTCCTCAGGAGAGGCGGCCCCGGCCTGCAGCGGGGTGTCTCCCTCTCCTGCTCCTCGGAGGAAAGACCTGGCTCCCACATGGCCCGGGTTTCTAGTTCTGTCACTGAGCCTTTCCTCGAGTCTGGACGAGATGGAGATGGCTCGGCCCCAGGGACCCTCGTCTCCGGCAGGACTGTAGTCCAGTGCGGACTTCCACATCTCTAGCCAAGACCATCGCAGTCGTGTGTGTGATTTATTTCGGTGATTCCCAGACAGCCCTGACACACGGGACCCAGGGAACCCACCTCCTGCTGATCTGCTGTGGGGTGGACCATGCAGAGACCTGGGAGCGACTTACCCCTCAGGCCCTGCGAGCTGGAAAGCCGGGGCAGCCTGGGCTCTCCCACCAGGCAGTGACTGCGACACGGACAAGTGGCCCTGGGCCGTCTGCTGTCTGGCTGGGGCCGTGTCCCCGTTTATCTCCCGCCAGGCAGCTTCCTGAGGACACAGCTGGAGGAGGGGGCCTTAGGCACAGGCGCTGGCAGCGCTGCCTTGTGTGTGACAGCAAGACATGGTGAACGTGGACAGGAGAAGGCACCGCGCGGCTGCGGCTCACGCTCCTTAGGGGAGCGAAGTCTAAAGAGTCGGTAGCCACACCGCAATCTCAGAACCTAAGACCCAGACCTCGGGCACAGGAAGCGGCCCTGGGGATGCTGGACGCCGTCAATGAGCAGCTGCACGGGCCACTTGGTTTTTCCCTCATCCCTGGCTGACAATGTGCTAGACTGGTACCTTGGGAAGCAGTGCCCACCTGACTAATGATGTGAGAGCAATTAAAATGAGCAACTTCTCTTTTGCAGGGTCCCAGTGGCCCTGTTGGACCCAAAGGAGAGGTGAGTGCCCGGCAGACATTCCAACGACAAAATCCCAAGGAGCCCGTTGGCTTCTCGGGCGCCTCTGGCTGCTGGGCCGGCCTCGGGCCTGACAGATGTGCACATCACAGAGGCCTGCTCTGCCCAGAAGTCAGACATCCCTGGCCTGGGGGGTGCGGCCCGTGGGGGTGGCTCGGCCCCCGCCCATCTCTCCCCGCGTTTTCTCCCCAGTCTGGCAGTCGAGGGGAGCCGGGCCCCAAAGGCATCCAAGGTCCCAACGGCACCAGCGGCGCAGAAGGTGTCCCAGGCCCTCCCGGCCCCGTGGGCTTCCAGGGCGTTCGAGGCGTGCCTGGCATCACGGGGAAACCGGGCGTCCCGGTACGTCTCTCCTTCCCTCTCCTGAGCCCGTGCCGCCGGCCTCGGGCTTTCACTGGGTTTAGGTCGTGCTTTTTGCGGGACAATCAGGTTACTTTTCAGAGCGTGACAGTGGGGGCGCCCCCATAGGCTGACACGCTTTGGGGTGAATTCCAGGGGAAAGCAGCCAGTGAGCAGCACATCCGGGAGCTGTGCGCGGGCGCCGTCAGCGGTAAGCGCTCCCGTCCTGGGCATCCTGGGCGTCCTGGGCGTCCTGGGCATGGGCGGCCCCGGCCCGGCCCCCTGCCCGCCCCCCTTTCCGGACCAGCTGAGCCCTGGGCTGACTCACACTTGTGGTCCTCGGGGGTCTGTCCGCACCGGGTAAGGCTCCCTCCCCGCAGGGTTACTGCGGGGCTGGTGCCCGGCGGACTTCTCAGGGTCCCCTGGGTGCAGTCACAAGGGGCAAATAATCGTGCCCTTTGGACTCTGGCTGACCAGCTGGGCAGCTCCTGGTCCCCGAGTCACAGGCCTTTAAAGAGCTCCTGGGCCCGTGGTTCACGCTGATACACCAAGCCCCTAAGCACGTTTATTATGCACCTGAATCCGTCAAAGCCTTTTTGAATCGGTGGACAAACTTCCTTTGGAAGGCAGTACCTCTGTGCTGCACGGAATGTTCTTCCGCTGAACAAATGCTTTATCTTTCTTTTCCCAAAAGAGCAAATTGCACAGCTGGCTGCTCACCTGAGGAAGCCCTTAGCACCGGGCTCCATCGGTCGGCCTGGTCCCGCTGGTCCCCCTGGCCCCCCCGGCCCCCCTGGCTCCATTGGTCACCCTGGTGCTCGAGGGCCCCCTGGATATCGGGGTCCCACCGGAGAGCTGGGAGACCCCGGCCCCAGAGGTGAGTGCCATTGGCCCCCCCCAAGTGGCTAATCCACTGGGGGCAGCCCCCAGGCCACATCATGAAACCCACCCCCTCCACATAGAGATGCTGCCCCCCCTCGGGGACAAGGGACGGAAGAGGACCTGAGGGGAAACTGGCTTGAAGTCACCTGGACACGAGCCAGGGGCCTTCCGTCCTTGACCATCTGTGTCTGACCCGCATCTGAGTGGCCTCAGTGCTCCTCTTGTCCCCGCGGCTCCCCTAGAAAAGTGGGGGGTCAAGCTACTGCGAGAAGCCACCTCCGGTCGAAGCCCTTCGTGCATGGGGCCCGCTCCGTTCACTCCTTGCCAGGCCCCAGGGATGACAGCACCTTTCGAAATGTGACGCTTTCCTCAAACACCACTAGAACACCATTCGGGGGAGGCAGGGTGGATAAAACTGTGAGGGGTGAGTCAGCAGGAGCCCTATTTATACGGAGCACGCACGTACCTTGATGAAGGTTGGCACATAGGAATACTTGTGGCAAAAGGCAAAAATTGTAAAATTCAGAAGGCCGCGGTGAGGACCATGCAGAACTAGGGTAAGTAACTTAGAAACGAGGCGGAGGTCTCGACCCACGTGCGGTGCCGTCCGTGCGGCTGTCCAGACAGCACAGCTGGGAACAGCTGGCCACAGACCGCTTCCCAAATGGCTGACGTTTACTTCGGTTTCGAATTCTAAGTTGGCCACCACCGCCAGCCTGCGTCCAGCCAGCTAGACTCAGGGCCCAAGTGAGGGATTTAAAGCTCCTGCTTCCGGCTCACTCCAAACTGTTGACCGGATAATTTTCTGTTTCTCAAAAATAGCTTAAGCAAAAAGCTCCCAAGGGAAACTGACTTATGTGGGCGTCTTCATCTGTGAGGTTAAATTCAAACACTTCAGCAGGTGGGAGTCCTTCCGTAACTAGGGATTCCGTTTCGTTACTCTGAAGACACTTAGAGACGCGTCAGCACCAGGGGCAAAGGTGTCAAACACACCTTCTCATCCCAGATGCGACGTTCGCCCCCAATTGACCATCAGGCAGCCTCCTGTCTCCTTGGAGAGTCTGAGTCCCAAGTGTCTCCAGCCGTCTGTGCCAGTACACAGCATGTCAGCGAGGGCGGCCTTCAAGGGACCAAACAGGGCAAGTTTTCCCTAAGTAGGGATCTGAATGCCTTTAAGACTTTTGAAAATAAAATCCAAAAGTAGCATTAATCACCTTTACTGGCGCTCAGAAAAACTGCAGGTCGGCATTAAGTGCAGCCACACTCCAGCCCAGGGTCAGGTGTGTCCCCTGGGGCACTTGCCCCCACGGTCGGTCCTTCTATCAGTCCAGCGGCCCAGGGACGCCCAAGGGCCTTGTCTGAATTGGAAGCCACCGTCACCGCTGGGCATCCCTCTCCCCCAGGGCCAAGGCAGGTCAGGGACCTGCTCCCAGCCCGGCCCAGGGCCTGGGCTCCTGACCCTGTGTAGAGGGTGTGCTACCTCAGGCGTAAATATTTCCAACAAACCAGAAGTCCGTCAGAAGTGCTGCTCTGATACCCGGAGCCTGGGGGATGAGGGTCATGGTCAACCTCCATCGAGCCCACACTCTGCTGTGTCTTCTTCTAAGAGTCTCAATTCAGCAAAAAGCAGGCGCCCTACCTGTAAAAAGCTGGGAGGGTGCTCCCCGCAGAAGTCTTTCTGGAAAGTTGAATCGGGTCTTCTAAGTGTGTGTCCTGTGCCTTTGACAGGAAGCCCAGGGGACAGAGGAGACAAAGGCTCGGCTGGCGAGGGCCTGGACGGGCCCGACGGAGAGCAAGGGCTCCGAGGTACGAGGCCCTGGCCACGCGCGCGCTTCCATCCTGACACCTCCCCCCCGGCCACGTGAGCGCTTCTGTCCTGACCCCCAGCCCCTACCCTGGCCTGGCCTCGTGCGCGCGCTTCCGTCCTGACACCTTGTCGCTAAGCGTGTCTCGCTGTCCGAGGCACAGCCGCTGCCTCCTGGCAAGGCACTCTTAGAGGCGAGGTTAGGAGCTGCTTTCATAGCCGCTTGACTATGTAAAGTTTCACCCATGAACAGATCGACCCGTGTCGGCTGCAGTTAAGTAGACTCAGTTCAATTCTAGTCAAGTAAAGCCATTTAGTATCTATTTCAGCTAAATTCTAACCGAATTTTCTCCTAACTGACCTACACCTGCCTTGATGTTTAAATTTTTAACGCGGAATAGAAATGCTCTGCCGAGAGGGAGGAGGCCAGGCCCAGCGGGGCCGCTCCCGCCCATCAGCCCAGCGCCTTCGCCGCCCCGTTCCACCTCCTCGGCTCCAAACACCTGGGCCCTGAGGTTGTTCCCCAGGTTCTCGGCTTCTCCTGCCGTCTACCTGCTCAGGGCCACCACCTCGCAGGGGCCTCCTGCCTCGCTCACACTCAGTGCTCCCCTGTGGTGGCCACCGTCTTCGTCACCACGCCACCCCCAGGCACGCCCTCTCGCTCACCCCAGACCCACCCTTCACACGGCACCGCCAGGCGGCCGTACTCAGGACCAATCCCGACTCCCGCACCCTGCGGCTTGCCCCCGTGGCCTCTTGCCGCAGCTGCCACGTCGCCCCCGTCAGGCCTCTGTCCTCACTGGTGTCTTAGCCCAAGCGCGCCGCCCCTGGGCCGCCCCCAGAATTAAGGGACAAGCTAGGGACACCCAAGGGCTGGGATGGCATGCTGAAGGGACGGGCCACTCCCTCCTCCTCCCGTGTCTACACTCACCTCCCTGGTCTGTCTCAAGGACCACAAGGCGTGCCTGGCATCAGCAAGGACGGCCGGGACGGGGCCCCCGGCGAGCCTGGCCTCCCCGGCGATCCCGGGCTCCCCGGAGCTGTTGGTGCTCAGGGGACCCCCGGCATATGCGACACCTCTGCCTGCCAAGGAGCCGTTATGGCAGGGGGCGTGGAGAAATCCGGTCCCCGGAGTTCCTGAAACACAACTTAAGGACGAGAGTGAGAAAGTGGTGTCAGCTGAAGCAGCGAGCTCTGGAGGGGCGCCACGGGGGTCCATTCTGGGATTAAGGAGCAGATGACGCGAGGCCCTGCCGCCCAGCCAGGCCTTCCCGCTGCTCCTCCACGTCCTTGGTGGCTGCCGCCAGACACTTGGTCCCCGAGAGCATCCCCATTGAGCCGTGGTCAAGAGCATTCTGACTACGTGTGTCCACGACGGTCTATTCGGCTGTAACATCATACCTCAGACTCAGGCCTGTGTAATAAGTCGTCAGCCCAGAGTTTGAGAGGAACACAGTGCGTACACACAGGAAGTTCTGTACAATTCCACGAGAGAAAAATATCCAACTTGTTTACGAGCATTTGTGTAAAGACTAAGATATAATCCCAGTAAATCGATATATGAGGTTTTCAGATTAAGACTGGCCACAGTGTTACAAAAAATAAAGAATTTAATGTCTGACGCCCTTCCATACAAAGGTCTAGTCTGATTTGCCTCCTGCTTCTGTGTACAAACTTCGAATCATCTCCTGTTGACAGTATTTATTGAAGGTGACTGTATTGCACTAAAGGCTGTTGGTATTATCTGTTATCATAAATAAAGCCACTCATTTGAAAAACTCCGTTCCAAACACTACAGTTTATTACACAGAAAGTAATGACTCAATGTGGAGCGAGGGCACTGAAGCAACCGCTGTGACAGCGTTTCACTTATGGGCAAAAGCACCTGTAAAGGGGGTCTCTGGAAAGCTTCCAGCAGAGCGGTTTAACACAGGACTGCGTTTTGCAGTGCAGCTCCGTGTGGCTGGAAATCACTGCAAGGGCAAGCGATAAACAAGTGAAATACAAATTCCAAACTACTTACAGTTACGAACAGCTAATTTGTTCCAGTTGCTAAGGGGCATATTTAAAATGTAAATGAAATAAGTAAAAAGCTATGTACCCTTTAAGACCAAAGCAATTACAAAGGATGTTAATTTCTTTACGTTATCATGTTAAGAAAACATGATAGAATCAGACAGATAATTGAAAATTACTTACAAATTGTCAAGATGTCTTTGTCCCCAAAAGGTCTAAGAGGACATTAATGGATGTTTTGTCTTAAATATTTTTACAAAATGTGCTTTCAAAGTCCCCACCGGAGTCCCATCAGCTGAGCCGTGTCCCTGGAGCGTTAGACTGTCGAGCGGAGTCCCAGGTCTGGAGGAGAGCGTCTGCGGGTCACGAAGGGACGGCCACGTACTTCCCCAGGTTTCCCGTCCACGCCTGGTCACTTGGTCTCCATAGTGGGGCTGCTCTGCAGGCTCTCCTGTGCGGGACACGTCACCAGGGAGTCTGGTCTGGTCAGCTTTAGCCTTCTACCAGTTTTACCGCAAAACACAGTCTCAAATTCCTAAAGTCAAGAAATGGTCATCAATGTACCATGTTCACAGACATGGACACGGCTGGCGTCAGAAACAAGAGGCTGAAGCTAAGAGCCAAGCCACTTCATGAGCCAGAAAGAGAAAGACAGATGCCGTACGACATCCCTCATTAAGATGTGGACTCTTGAGAGGAAAAAAGAGGGCGCTAATGGACTCATTTACAGAACAGAAACAGACTCGCATGGTAAACAATCTGATGGGGAAAAGGGGGTGGGGAAGGCATAAACTGGGAGTTCGAGATTTGCAAATATTAACCACTGTATATAAAAACATAAAAAACAAAATACCTTCTGTACATCACAGGGAACTATATTCAACATCTTGTAATTACCTTTCATGAAAAAGAACATGAAAACGAGTACGTGTCTGTGTATGCATGACTGGGACCCTGTGCTGGACACCAGGAATGGACACATTGTGGCTGACTGCACTTCAGTAAAAAACATAAAACAAGAGCTAAACTACTTCAAAATCTATAGTTAAATTAAGGTGTCACCATTCACAAACACACATCACATCTGGTAAGGGGATACAGATGATAAAAATGAGGCTTCAGACATTTCACTCAGAAAGTTACATCTGCATGTATTTTCATTTCCAACAGCTTCTCAGATGCCCGACCATCCTGTACACCCTTCTTGTATTGAAAGACAGCCATGTATTTTACTTTTACATACATCACCTTTACCATTTTGACCATTTGCAAGCATGCAGTTCAGTGGCATTAAGTATGTTCATGCTGCTGTGCAACCGTCACCACCATCCACTTCCAGAACATTCCACCACCCCACACAGGCACTGGACCAGTTACACACCATGTCCACCACGGGCACCTGCAGGCCATGGGTCCAGCTCAGGCCGCTTCATCTCTACAGACTTTTCAAAAGGCCCCTGTTCTACCAGCTGGGTCAGACTGACAGGCTCTGAGCATGCGGGTCAGGCCCAGCCTCACAAAGGAGAAGGCAGGTGCGGGTGCGGGTGCAGGTGCGGGCAGGCTCCTAGAGCTCGTTGGCATGTTTTGAGAGAGAGACAAAGCTAAAGATGTCTCGGTTTATTAGACACACGTCTTGTACC